GAAAACACAGCCGTAGTCTTTGGATAAATGATCTTTGCACATCCCTCAGCATGTGTTCCCATCACGACCGATCCAACAATTGTTACTCCAGGTGTCCAAATTTACGCACACTATTATGATAATGGGCAGGTGCGCCGTCATGTAGGAAGTAAATGTGCATCCGAGTTTGAAGGTTTACATCCTCCAAAAGCAAAGGCAAATGCTCGATCAAAAAATTCAAGTATTCTGTACCTGTTAATCTGTTATCGTAAAACAAAGGCCCGATAACTTGTCTGCCAATAACTCCTCCCCAAACATTCAAGCTCCATTTATTTTGGAAATCTATTTGCCTAACCCAGTAAGAGTTTTACGTCGCATAATAGTGCATGTTATGCCTGTTGACAACACCAATGCTGTTAAAAGTTGCCTCATCGCTAAATAGAACCTTATCCAGAAAAGTAGTGTCGTCACTCACTTTATTTAGCATTATTCTACTAAACTCCATTCGAGCTGCGACACCCTGTGAACGAAGGCCTTGATGCAAGCATAGGTGCTATGAAGTTTTTATTATAATGCTCGCAAAGCTAATTTTGACAGTTTGTAACTAATCAACAATTTATTTTTTTCCCAGGATGATGCGATATTATAATATAATTAAGCCGTTCCATAAAAGACGTGTTAATAACCGAAAAAATAGGAGCAAAAACACATAATATGTGTCTAGTATCAAAAAAAGCTTATAAAAAATTGAATCCAAACTTGCACCAATATACAGGGTGATGCGTTTGGAGTTTTTGAGAAAAACTACAGTTTGCGTTTTTGACCACCCTTTATGAGCAAAAATTAAAATTCGTAAAAGTAACAGATAAGATAAAAGCTATAGTGTGTTGGTTTTTTTGATACAAAATTCAGCACTCCAAATTTCAAAACGGCGGACCGAGGGGTTGCCGAAGTGGGAGGTTTTGCTAGACAAAACACCTTAGATCTCAGTTGCTGATTACCAAAACCCCATAGTATATGATACCAATTTTCTTCTTTTGAATTGGTTTATCCAAATATGCAATAAAATTTTAGGCATTACATTTGAAAAATCACAACATTGATATGTAGGTCGAAATTGGGACACCATGTATAACGATCAATATTTTAGAAATGTGCCCTCAAATGACATGTATAACATCCTACAAATAGATTTTCCTAAAATGGATTTGTTTATGAGAAGTATTCCGTCCACACATGGATGGGCCACCCTGTACACTCAGTGACATTAGAAATGTTAACCGTAGAAAAAATAATTCCGTCAACTTGTTTTTTTGGCAACATAATGCCTTTATTTAAAGCATACTGTGGCAACAATGTCAATGTTTTATCTTTGTTTTTGTTTAACTTTGTTAAAATGTTATCTCTTAGTTCTAGTGAAGAAAGCAGTTTCTGAGTGTTGAGTAGCACAGATACTTTTAGTTATTGCCCTATAATTTACTAACTAAATGAATAGGCATAGGCAGCAGCGGTGGCCGCAGTAGTAGACTCTTCGGTCTCCTGATCAGTCGCCGTGCGCTGTGCGGGTTCGAGTCCCGTCCCAGGAGAAATTTTTCTCTTGGCTATGGATGTTGTGATTGTCCGTAGGTGGTAGATGGTCTCTGACTGTCAAACGTGGAGGTACCACCCGGCGGTTATCGTAGGCGGAGCCAGAATGTGTGCATGTTGCATGCACACGTGTTCCCTCGCCAGAGTCCATGTGGCATCCTCCCCCTTTCCCATGTATCCCCCTATAGCCCCACGGTACCCAATGGGTGCTTAGGCCTTAGGCCTTCCTAGTAGTTGGAGTTGGAAAAAAAAAGAATCGAGTTCGAAGATGTCCAAATTGTCACCATGTTAGTGCCTGTGAAAGAGGTAGAATTATTGCCTATCGGGATGTTGGTTTGTCCTATCGGGAAATTGGCCGCCGTGTTACTTGTACTGCAATGACGGTAACGCGCGTATGTCGTGTGTGCACAGAAGAAGATAGAGGAGCACTAAGAAGACCAACTGATTCACCGAGACGTTCCACAGAGCGTCAAGGTAGGTGCTTCAGACAACTAGCCCTATGAGACCGTTTTGCTACTACGCGTCAGATCGTTGACCAATGGTTTGGATAAGACGGTACTCGTAGACCCGTTTCTATGCGTACACTCTATCGCCGCATTCGAGCCGTCAACGTTTGAACTGGAGCAGAAGACGGCAACATTGGGAGGCAGCATGGAAAAATCTATAGTTAGGCTCTATAAGTTTTGTATAAAACATTTATACACGCTCAAAGAAAAAAATTAGAAAGCGAGACACTTTGTTTAAAGCATCTCCAAGAAGCTATAATGTTTTACAAAATATATATAGAAATTTACCATCAGAAGGTTAACCTCATTTCTATTTACATTTCTCACCTGCAACCCTAGCGACGAAAGTACATATGGACGCTATTCAGTACCTCACTTATGCCTTTCGGAAAATGAGCAATGTCTGACAGCCCTGGGATCTTGAACTGTAATTCAGATCTCGATCACAGAATCAGAACCATCGTCGAATTGTAGGCAGAAAAAAAATATTACAGAACCGTACCACAGACACTATACAACTACAGTGTTATACGCTACCTACATGGCAGTAATTGGTCAGATTATGATTAATTAGTTATTAATGTTTTAAGCAAAACAAGCCAAAATTTGGAAAAAAATGTATTGATATAATCAAACTTGAATTAAAACTCTGTACGATGTCTAAACCATTTGAAGATATTTTAGTCGTTACGGTTTAACAGAGTTTTAGGGAACGACCAGAAAAGCGATTTAAAATTTTCAAATTTGAAAAACAAAGCAATGAACCACAATTAATTTCAGTTTAGCATATCTACGTAAGATCCCTAGATCTCAAGCTCCATCGGAACGAGCATATCAAAAAGACGTACAATACTGAATATCAGAAAATAGGGTAGTAGTATTGAAGAACTTATACGGCCAGGCACTATTAGTGGCAGGCAGTGTGTGCCACTATGACGGCAACCATTAATGAAAAAATGGCACTTTCACGAGCATCCATCACGCTTTGACGTCTACTGAGGTGAACGGCTGATCGGTAAGTGGCATTTTTGTGTTAGTCTGCAACTTTGGAAATACTGAATCACGTGTAAATCTGGTAAAACTTTTGTTTTTTGTATGCAAATGAACTTTTATAAATAAAAGAGCTTTTAGAAAGTACAAAATTAGTCTGTAGTACACAAAAAGTCAAAACAAAATATGGCTCTGTCTACCTGGCATTGAAGGATCTGTCAGGCTTATGTGACCTTTGCGGATATGGGGAATTTTGAAATATTACTAGATAATTAGCTCTCATTTTACCGTAATGGATACTCGTGAAAAAGACCGTAGAAATCCTCGTCAACTTGTACACTCCTCACAGGTGTCAAAACTGTCAACTCCACTTTTTTAACCTGATGGTTATGTCATTTGATATATTATATACCCACGTGATTTTGGCGGTGGTTTGTGCTGTTTGTGCCTGTTGGGTACAAGGTCTAGTGTGATAAATTATTAAAATTGATGAGATGATAGATGACTAAGTAACATGCGACGCTTAAGGCCATGTCTAACCATGAGATCATTAAATCAATAAATGTATTTATATATCACATTAGTGGCAGGTAGTCCTCGAAATACTGCGTGGCCTCATTAGAGCCTGTCCTTATGGAGTTCAATAATTCGCTAATAGTGTCTGCCGATCAAATGACACATTCAACAATGAAAAATAAAAATACTGAGGCCAGTTTGGATCTATGGACTGAAGCTTTTGGAGGTACCAGTAAGAATAGTTGTGAGGTCACCCAAAGACCGTCGTAAGAGAATAACAGCTCCATTAACTACTGAATCTTGAGGTACTAATTATGATGAGGTCTACTGCAAGAAAAAACATTCCACTTGCACGTTTTGTACCTGAAGATAGCCATCCTAATACTACTCGTATATTCCTGCGGCCAAAATTTATCCGAGATTGAATAAACCAGATACCGAAGCGTTAACTATGAGAATGTACAACAGTTGTCTTCACACTAATTAGAAATTAACTTTAAAAAGGTTACTATCTCGTAGCTGGCGATGTAGCCAAGCACAAGCTATATGCTAATATAGTTGGATACATCACCATCGATAGACACTAACCGTTGCTAGTTAGTGCTGAAAGGAGGAACTTAGCTGTGGCAATTTCTCATAAACGGCGTTACGGTGTCTCATTTTATCTAGAATAATTTTTTGGATGTGGAAATACAGTATTAAATTGGCTAACTTAAGGTGGAACACATCAGTTCGTGGTAGCATCGAAAGTTGGAATGGAAACGCTTGTCAGTTCCAGCTAGTTGCAATTACAGCTCTAGACAAAAAAGGTTTGCTCAACGACGGTGACCTAGTTATACTGTAATCTCTAAGTCTAGAATTTTATAAATGATGTGATTATCTTTACATTAATTGGTATTCGTAAAACCAGTTAACTTTAAACGGGCTACGGATCAAATGCTTGGCCAATAATAACGTTATTTATTTAGCTGTGTTCTTAATCAGGCCGAATTTCATTTGATATAGGACTTGCACAGCCCCCTGATGCACAAAAATAGATTTGATCGAAATATTTATTTAGAAGTCTAACAATCTGTGGTTTTTCATCACACCACACATTAGTGGCAAACAAAAAACAAAGCAGGGCCTATTTAAGAATGGATGAGTGCTTGATAAATTACTCAGCGCGAAACCAACGAAACCCTGGAAACAAGGAATGATCTGCGGAAAACCGATACGGTAAACCCTTTAAATTGACCCATCAGTCTGCGCTGGCTCTGCCGGTCGAGCTAGCGTTGTTGATTGACGTTCCAACTTAAAATAACTCGCTCCCTTTGCACCGCAGAGGTAGAGATTTAATTTTGTTACTACTTATGCCGGTAAATAGTCTGGTACACAATATTACATCAAAAAATAAAAGCACGTCGTTAGGCATCAAATCCAAGACAACTTTGTCAGTATCTCTGCGAATAAGAAAAGTAGGGTAGAGTGGGGTTAACTGAACAGGTAGGTTAACTGAACACATCGATGTTCCTGCCATCTAGTAATGATAAATTAAACTTGATTTTGCCTGAAAGCGTCTTTTGTTACGTGTGTTGACACCGTTCGGTGCAGATTTCTTTTAAGTCGGTTCTGATCTCGTAAATCAGCAAACATATTTTTAATGGCCGCCACGTAAAATTTGTGCTCCCAAGTTTTTTTGTGTTACAGTTAGCAAAATAGAGTTTTAAAATTGGTTTGACGTATATTTTGTTCCAGTAAGTATTTTAGCATTTATTTCTTGTGTTTACCTAACCTTAACATTATTTTTTAATCAAATTTTTCTTTTGCTTATGTATTGGTGCACAGTGGGTATAACTGGACATCTCATGTATGTGGTTATATGAACAGGTGTTCAGTTAACCTGCGTTATTTATTTATTATTATTTTGTCTACAAATTTAGTTTATTTTTTAGAATATGCCAAGAAAAAGACTACGTACTACCAATAACAGATCATATAGTGTAGCATATCTTAGACAAGCATGTGAAGGAGTCCTGACACATGGTCGAACAACTCGAAGTGTTGCACTTCAGTTTAAAATCCTAAGAATGACTTTAAAAAGGTATGTCGATAAATGTCGGGAAAAAAACAACTTGGATATAAATTTTCGCCGCAACAACGAACATCTTTTGGCTTTTAGTCCCGATGAAGAATTACTTCTTAAAAAATACTTAGAGCATGCATCTAACATTCACTATGGCTTGTCTTCTAAACAAGCTCGTATTCTAGCTTACGAGTTTGCGGTGGCTAATGGCAAAACCATAAAAGAAAGTTGGTGCCGAGAAGCAATGGCAGGCAAAGAGTGGATGTTTAGATTTATGAACAGGCACAACTTTTCGTTGAGGACGCCAGAACAAACAGGCTTAAGTAGGGCAACCAGTTTTAATAAGACAAATGTGAGGCATTTTTTAAAAATTTTAGAGAGATTAAAGATAGATAATTTGCAATCTAATGATATATACAATCTAGATGAATCCGGTGTAACCACGGTCCATAAACCTCCTAAGGTTCTTGCAATTAAAGGAAAAAGAAATGTAGGGCAGATGACGTCGGCTGAAAGAGGGACGCTCGTAACTGTTGTAGGAATTATTGGAGCTACAGGAACATATTCCTCCTTTTTAATATTTCCCCGAGTCCACTTTAAAGAAAATATGCTCCATGGAACTCCAGCTGGCTCTAAGGGTGGAGCTTCGCCTTCTGGATGGATGAACAGTCAGTTGTTTCTTCCTGTGTTGCAGCATTTCGTACAAAACGAGAGACCATCTAAAGAACATCCCAAACTAATAATCCTTGATAATCATGAGAGTCACTTAGGTATTGCAGCACTAAATTTGGCTAAGCAAAACGGTATACTCCTTTTGACATTGCCACCCCATTGCAGCCACAAGCTGCAACCATTGGATTTAGCAGTATTTGGGCCATTTAAAAAATATGGTGTAAGTTGTGACAGATGGATGGTAAATCATGCCGGAAAACCTATCACTATTTATGACATCGGAAGTCTGGTTGGAGAGGCTTTTTTGCAAGCGTTTACTCCAAAAAATATATGCAGTGGATTTCGTGCAGCAGGAATAGAGCCGTTTAATGACCAAATATTTTCGGATGAAGAATTTCTTTCGTCATATGTTACAGATAGACCGGGGAAAACATCAGAGAAAGAGGCACCACAAGCTGGGTCGTCACAAGATAATACATCACTGCCTAAACCGATTCAACATGGCATGACAGATCCTGTTCTGTCACAATTTTAGCTCTCAAAATATCAAGAATCACAAGCCGGACCATCACAAGCTGAATCGTCGAGCACTGCTAAACTACAAACTGAAAAATCATAAACCAAACCGACTCTATCTTCAATTGAGATAAAAAAGCCGACATTACAAATTATAACTCCTGAACAGATCCGTCCTCACCCCAAAGCTGGTGAACGAAAGTCTACAATTCGACGAAAGAAAGGAAAATCCCTGATTTTGACAGACACTCCTGTCAAAGAGAACATAGAGGAAGAAGCAAGACTTCGAGAAGAAAAAGCACACAAAAAAAACAAAACAACTAACAAGAAAAAAGAGGCAGTAAAAAGACGTATTCTAGAAGACAGCTCTTCTGATGATGAAAGTGTTATCTATGAAGAAAGCTCGGATTCTTTAGAAGAATTTGATGCATATGACGATAGTCCACAAGCTGTGACAAAAGGCGATTTTGTAATCGTGAAAGTGTATGGGCAAAATAAATTAAATTTCAGACATTATGTTGGTGAAATTATTCATGCTGTAAATGATGGTTTTGAGGTTACTTTTTTAAAACGCCACAAAGAAACAAAATATTTTTTTAAAAATAATGAAAATGGCTTTGTTGTAAAAGCTGATATTGTTTGTAAGTTACCCATGCCAGCCAAAAGTAACAGCGCTAGATATGCCAACATGGTGTCATTTCAAGTTGATTTAAATGAATTTGACTTTACAGTTTATTAAAATTACCTACAATATTTTCATATGTTTGACTTTACAGTTTATTAAAAGTATCTATAATACTTTAATGTATCTTCAGTATGTTTCATATTATCAATAAAAATGATTGTTAAAAAGTGTTGACATATTTTCTATGATACATTTTTATTATAGCTAGTCACCTTATTCGCTAGAGGGCTAGACTTGTATTTAGGGTATTAGGTTGGTAATAGTAAATGATGGAAAGCTTGCCAGCCTTCTTATGGTTTAGTGCCCTGAATTTTCCATGCATGGCCATTTTTGCTGTTTAACAATTTATGACAAATTTATTGTATATTTCTGTCAATTAAATAACAAAAATGGCGGCGCATGAAGATTCCAGGGCACTAAATCATAAGAAGCTGACAAAATTTCCATGTAGAAAGTGTTAAGTAAAAGTAAATTTAAAAAATATATGTTGTTTGTACCTCTGTTCAGTCAACCTGCATAAGTGGCCCAGTTAACCTGACAGGCAGGTTAACTGGACAATTTGATAGGTTTTAAAAAAGTCAATCTGTCATACACATAAATTTAAATTTAACATTAAACATTACGTTTTCCAATTACTTACATAACTTCCAAAGCATGGTCATTTTCTTAGCAACGATCTTCTGGTCAAAAACAAAGTTTAAATTTTGATTGGTCCAGTTAACCCCAGTCTACCCTACACATATTCCCGAACAGTGATTGATGTCTATCTCTTCATGTTACTTTCAGGTAATATGGTATTACATTACAATATACGAGCGGAAAGTTTCATAGCGCCTTTAAACATTTTGTTTGAGTCTGACAGGGTAAGCGATATATCTATATGCGGGAGGTTGCGAGATCATTAGTCACCAACCAGCCATTTTCTTGCAATAACGCTTGTTTTATTACATATGACATACCATGAGGTTTTTCGGGTTCTACTCGAGCGGTTTAGAATGTCAAATTGAGTGATATAGCGTAGTATAAGTGTAAAACATTCGCCGCATAAGGTTTCTTATCTTCGAAAAAGGTCAAAAGCGATTATTTTTACATAGGGCGTAGGGGTCACAAACAAAAGCAAGGAACAGTTATTTCTTCAACTTCGGAAATTAGGTGTATTAATGAGTTCGAAACGGGTATTCCGTATCTTGAAAAGTGACATGTAGTTTTTTTTTTAAATTGTATTGTTTTTTGTGACATTATGTACGTTCTTCTACAAGATGTTAACTTAGCACTAGCTGATGGACACTTTGATCTCGTTTAGTGGTTGTACGTGTTGCCGAAACGTCATGAGGCATCAGTTATCAATGTTTGGCTCCGAGGTGATGTAAAATCTGCTTCAGACTGGAGGTCTAAGCTGTAAGTTGTATACAATAGCTAGAAGAAAACTGCAATGCATAGGTGCATTGTGAGGATTTGTGTACTAATAATATGTTTTGATAATAATTCCACTGGATTCTTGTCTCAAAGACACTCACTTGAGATTCAAAGCTAGAAATAAGTTGCGCATCCACTTTTTCTTATCTATTCTGGAAATTACATATGCAAATTTGCTGAGTTTCAAAGATGAAAGAGATAAGAAATAATTATATTCACTATACACTGTCGAATTACAAATTGAAAACACAAAAAAACGTTAAAATCGTAATTTATAACTTTGAACATAACCTATCTTCAGGAAGGACAACATATACATAACTCGTCGGGCACGGCTAATAGATATACTTCATTGGCAGCATATTCAGCAATGATTGTCTCACACACTAAATATCACTGATTTTATATACATGCAGACCAATACACATAATCATCCCGATCCGATCTTGCTATTCAACCAAATTTCTTCTCAAAGATGAAAATAAATTACAGACTACTCGACAAAACATTTGCAACCAACAATACGTGAAGTTGAGTCATTCCTCCTTAGATGGATGATCACAGCGATCCTAGTGAGCAAATGTGGAATGACTGTTTGTACCCTAAAAACTACCTAGCCTGCAAGATCACATTTTATAGTTTTTTGACGTTTTATAGGTTTTTCACACAATACCTGCTCTGGTTTTCATCTAAATGCTAGCTCTTTCTTGAATGATTTTGCGATGCCGTAGGTGTCATCTGCTGGCGACAGTAAGAATTGCCACAGTTTGACGCTGTCACGAGCAACAGCGGGAAAAAGGGGCAGCGCCATCTGTCAACGACCACCTGAAATACCGAGTCTCGACTATCTTTGAACTGCGTGGAACGATCGAGAAGATGGTGGCACATGCATGAAACGCAGGAAAAGCAAGTGAGCTAGCAAAGAGCAGTCTACGCGAGCGAGAACCAGTTATAAATTTGCCTCAATTAACAATAAATGTTATAAATTTATTTAGTGAGAATATGCATTCGTTACAATGCATTTTTGCTGTAAATAATTCAGGAATCAATTTAACTGATAATATTGTTACAAATCTACACTCTAGTTCGATGGGACTGTATATTGTACACCGCTGGTGCAATAATACTTTTATTAATTCTGCGGTACTTGTAACAAAATTTAATCTAAAAACAGATTGCATCAGATTAATTGCTGTTGGATAGCAATGTCATTGGATTATGAATTAGTTCTGTGAAAGGTTTTATTGCGTAGAACCATGATATGCCTTTGTTCTGTTGCAAATTCAAAATTATGATAATCATCCAGACAATATTATCCAATCGCGATCAGATGCTATTGAAAATATAAACATGGCAATATATATTATTGATATAAATTGATTTGAACTATAAACATTAATAGCAAGAGGAACAATCAACACTACCCAATGAACATCTATTTCATCAGCCGATAACACATTCTGTGATATTCCGTTTCGTGCTGTCTCATTTTGACAGATGTCAAGGTTGTGGTGATTAAGTTTCCTCTCTTATTTCAAAATCTGGAAAATTGTGCATTTGATGTTTCAGCTCATAATACTGTATACTTTATGAAGTCTAGTGGCTCTGCGCTACTGATGTTTTTGTGTGAGAATCATCTCATTCATAAAATTAAAAATCTGAAAAATGTAACCCTAAATTCAGACATCTTTAGGCAAAAGACAGATACTGTTAATACTGCCAATGTTTCTAAGTATCCTTAATTGCTTTTGTAAATGTTGTCCCAATTATGAAGAAGCAGCACTAACTTTGTTAGTCAGGTATTTATTATAAGCATTATTGAAAATTAAAATATACATTGAAATACAAGACATTTATAATTTCTCTCAAAATTAGGACAGATCCAAATTCAGAAAGCTCAATGTAAGGCTGGTAAAGTACGATTTGTTACAGAATATTTTATTTCTTCAAAAACCATTTTCACATATGTGTAAGCTGATTGCAAATATTGCAAGAGATACAATCAAAAAAATGTGCTAGCTCCTGTACATACTTTCAGGAAAACCGATCACCAAAGGAAGAAAGTCTCTGCAAATGAAACTTTGCAAAGCCATTTCCTTTTCATAGATAATACGCTTTGCCCAACCCGTAGTAAGTCTGTTTTTAATTATGAAAAGCTATTTAATCCTATACTGGCGGGATGCCGGCTCCCGCAGATGTCAAAGATCGATAACCCGAGCATCCCGAGTACTTCCCAGTTCCCAGTCGCCTCAGAACTAATTAAAACCTATTTTAATCACCTTGGAATCTGCTGAAAGGACACTGTGGATCAGAGGCAGAACAATGCTCAAGTGCACTTCCATCAGAATGAACTGTGCTTGAAGCTTTATGTACTTAACAGTGCAAAGATTTGATACAAAATAAAAATGATTTCTTTGTAAAACTGTCGAAAGGAAGCTGTGGATCAGAGACATAACAATTGCAATTCTATCAGAATGAACTGTGATTTATAATAGAAAATGGCGTCAAGTAGCTTGACTCTACACTATCTCAATGACCTAGCGTAATCAAGTAGTTCGAAGCTCGGGTTCGTACCCATTATTAACAGGCGTTTACTGCGTCTAGTCTTTAGTTCACAGAATTTTTATTTTTGTGCATAGTTACCCGAAACCGTGGCCAAAGTACAAGCTGGGCCGGTATTCTCGTTTCCCAAAACGCAGTTTTTCAAGTTGTTCAGCGAATCTGATTTTGTTTGCTTTTGCATTCGACATGCTCGTTAAAATATGGTATTCCTATTCATATAGCGCTTAGCGTTTTTAGAAATCGCTTGTCGACTTCAGAACGACTACTAAGCAGTTGTTGGGTGTCATTGGTATCATGTGGTAGTCTTTTTTAATAAGTTCCGGCACGGGTATTACGTATCTTGAAAAGTGAGACTACGTCGATTCTTTTTTACATTATATTGGTTTTTTATGACATTATGTTAGTTTTTGTACAACTTGTTAACTTGGCACTAGCTTATGGACAAGTTGTGAACTCGTTTTGTAGTTGTACGTTTTGCCTAAACGTCATGAGGCTTCACATATCAATGTTTGTCTCTGATGTGCTGTATAATCTGCTTCAGAACGGCACTGCATAGGAGCACTGTGAGGACACACAAATCCTCACAGTGCTCCTATGCAGTGCCGTTCTGAAGCAGATTATATATATATATATATACGAGTATATATATATATATATATATATATATATATGCAGTGTTTTTCTTTAATGTCCTCCTCCCCTTTGATTTTTTGAACGGATCAATTCAAAAAATTAAAACTTGACGTACTGAAATTGATGCGTGGATACCATGTTTTAGAATAAAATTGACAGATGAAAATGTCAAGATGGCCGCTGGGCGCCATCTTGGAATAAAAATATGAAAACGGGGGTCTTGTGGCACATCATTTTGAAGCTCCTGACGAGTACTTTATAACCCTAGAATATAAAGTCAATACCTTTACCTACTACAAAATGGTGGTACATTTAACAATTACTTCAACACAAACCCACTAACATGTATGTCTCTACAAATAATTGTAATTCCCTGCCGTAGCCAAAGCAACAGTGATAAAAACTTGTTTTGTTACTTTTTGTTGACAGTGACAAGAAGATCAGTACGAAAACAAACATCATTGTACAGTTAAAATATTCTTATTAGTTTTCGGTTTTAGTGCTAGATACTGTTTGAACTGTTTTTAAAATAGTCAATTTTCGTCCATTGGAAGAAAAAATTGAAGCGATTTTTATTTATGGTGCGCCGCGTAACTTTCACGGGACCGAAAGGATTTTTAATGATTGTTTCCGGAGTCGCCCTATCTGTAGAAAATATTTAAGGGAGCATGCATCTAAATTTACAGCTATTGGTAGTGTAAACATCAAAAAGCCCCCAGGTCATTCGACCATCCCGGAAGAAGAGCAAGTTCAAATAATTGGTGAGATCATAGTATATCCCCAACAATCTACTTCCTCCATCGCGAATGTATGTGAGGTTTGTCCTTCTACTTTATGGAGACTTTTGAAAAAGAATAAGTATCACCCATACAAAATTCAAATGGTACATCAGCTAATTGAAGATGACCCTGATCGAAGAACAGAATTCTGCGAGACTATGACGGAAACCATTGCACGGCATCCTAGCTGATTCCAAAATATTTGTTTTAGTGATGAATGTACTTTTTTTCTCGACCGTAATGTGCATAGACAAAATTGTCGTTATTGGAGGGACACCAATCCTCGCGTCTTCCGGGTAACTCATACTCAATATCCACAAAAAATTAACGTTTTGACTGGGATATTGGGAAATCATGTTGTGG